ACCGATTCAAACAAAATGTGTGTCTCTCCTCAGATATGATCCTTAACGTGCCTGCCGTCTTCATCATCCAAAATACCAAATCGCCGAAATTTAACTCCCTGTCCATGATGATGGTGATGATAATTTGGGGTTTTAGAGCGCATCGACTGCTGTAGGTCATGCAGCGCCCAAAAGGTAAAGTAAAGTAGGTGAAGGAAGGTAAAGGCCCTGTTCATGTAAGGTAAAGGTTGAGCTACAAATCATAGCGCCCACATGTCATATGATCTTCGCTGTCCACGAGGCAGACTCAGCGAGGCGAAAAGCAAAGAGATGCTAGAAGCACACAATATTAGTGCATTGTTTACTGAAGTTGCCGCGCCACTCTTATATACTGCTGAGTTAATTTCCGCACTTTCCGTCAGCATGCACATATTTTACACTGAAAGGTACGCGTAGATCTATGACACTTTTGCACGTCTATATTATTTTGCAAAGCTTATGAGCTTTTTCACTGTTGCAATATTCATTATTATTTAGCGTAACCCACGGACACCTCTTCAAGCTCTGGAAAAAAGGCTGGCTGAACGCTGTATGCGTGCCACCCTGAATGGGGTCTGTTTTTAAAAAAAAACGAGAATATATCCAATGATTGTGATGTCATTAACCCTTGATTCAGGGAATCTGAGTAAAAGGTGGGCTCGATACGTAGAAAACTGGACATTCTTGGGACGTTCTATAAATGATTATGCAAAGAACAATAACCAAAACCCTATTGTTATATTGAAATTGAGGCCCAAACAGGACGCACGTTTCGCCTTCACGGCTTCTTCAGTGCCGGTTTCGCAACATAACACCGTTTCACAAACCAGCAAACATATCTATAACTTGTTTTTTACGTCCAGGACAACCTCTTTCAAAGGAAGCCTCGGCTCAGAACGGTGATGTGCGTATCAACGAGCTACACCTCGTTGCTCGCACCTTATCAGCCACATCCTCACTAAGACACCTTATCGTTCGTGTGTCGCTGCTGTGACGTGGGCGCACGTAAGTGTTTGGAGCTGAGGCGTCAGTCCAATTATATTGCCGCATATGTAAAAAACACGTGTTTTATAATCTTGCTAGTTTGTGAAATGTTCTTATGTTGAAAGACTGCCATTTGGGAAGCAGTAAAGGTGAAGCGTATGCCCTGGTTTGTATGTCCCTGACGTAATATTGTCCGCCCGAGTCACACCCGTCCTTAGTACATTGCACCAGCCGATGGAACACTACTGACTACTACAACAAAGTTTGACTAACTCTTTAGTGGGATTCACTAAAGGTTGAAGTGAAATAGATTTGCCATCACACTATTGATATAATTTATTATAACATTCAGCGATCCTCCGTGGAACGTAAAAAATCAGTGTGCGGGAGACTGTCCCTGTGTGTCTTTGGGACGCTGTCATTTAAAAACTACGTGTTCGTGACTTTGCGTGCCATGAATGCATTCCAATGTTTTTGGTGTCTCAAGGGCGATTTTGCACGCGTGTTGGTAGCGTGTATTGTAGGAAACCTTATCAGGGCAATATAAACTATACGGGTAGGACGTGCCCTCTGAAGATATGGCCCGCAAAACCTGCTTACCCCTCTGTTATTTCACGTGCATGTTCGCCGAGGGCTTCATCAATTGCAAGATACGCAACGAGTGGACCTCTGTTCAATTCTGAGATGAGGAAAGTATATGTTCTGTTTCACTATTTCCGGATGCATTTTGTGGAAAGGTACCCGACCAAAGTCAGCCAGAGATGTTGAAAGTTGTCACAAATTTGAGTTTTAACCCCGAAGTAAGCCTCACAGGCATTGATAATAGAGCATCAAAACCAAATTGCTGCAGCGTGCGCAGATCGCCAATAATTTTTTTGCAACACTCCGTGAATTTTCATGGCGGATATAGGTGATGTAATGTTGTCTAATTATCAGGTTGGTAGTGGTGTCACGGTATATGATCTGTTTACTTCGTCTTTTAGGCGCATTGTTAGCAATCAATTACGGCTGACCATGTCGCCTGTATAACTGGTAGGTAATGACGTAATAACCACATTACTCCTTTTATATTGCTGTCAATATCATCTTGCTGTTAATATTGCTATCATTATTTGTTAGTAGCCACTTTTTTGCTGAATCATCCACTCAATGATGCTTACCTTAATAATCCACGAAAACTTTCCATTACCATTTTTGAAACAAACATCCATGTGTGGTTGAAGGCCCTTCCATACTTTTGTTGGCGATGGGCGTTGCACATTCAGTTTTTATAAGTTACTGGATTTTCGATTGGCTCAATCTGTGCACAGATTTTCTAATCGGGCTCGCTCCTAATCCGTGCGTTGCACAAGTTTTCTGGTCCGTTTAAATCCGCGTCATCTGCCATCCGCGGGCTGCTCCAGTTCTTCAGGTATATAAATGTACTAGCTAACTGCTTCTAAATGTACACACTAGCTAGCCAGCATAGAACTCGATGTTGGCGCGCTAACGCAAATTTCGACGCGGGAC